TAAATAAAGAAAAAACAAAAAATACAAGTATCTTTTCAACTATTTTCATCATATATATACATGTTTTTATAAATAAATAAATAATATAACAAATTTGCAAAAATGCAATATAAATAAATAACATATATATGTTTTTATATATTTATATATATATATAAATAAATAACATATATATCAGATCAAATAAGGGTGATCCGAATTCAATCCGAGTTCTGATCGGATCCCATTATCCGATCCGAAGATCCAAAAAGGAGATATCCAAATCCAACAAAATGAGACCAAACTTTGGATCAGACCATAATCCAATCCATTTGCACCCTATCCTCCTCTTCCTTCATCCATTCTTTCCTTTCTTTCCTTTCTCTCATTCCTTTAATTTCCTTTTTTTTCCCTTTCTTTCTGTCTTCTTTTCTTTCTTTATTTCTTCTTCCTTTCTTAGCCATCAACCACATATGTATGTCTCAGTCTCTCTTTTCTCATAAAAGTCTAAGAGTAATGATGTGTGCCCTAATATTCCAATCTAATCAAAGCACCTGAACCATTCGACCCAGAGAGTCAAACCGCTAACCCGGAAACCTATGGCCACAGTGGTTCCATTTTCAGGTGGAGGTTTAAAACCTTGCAGAAAACAACAAAAAGTAGTATATGTTTAAAGTGATATATTTCAATAAAACATTTGTCTAAGAAGCATCCCATTTATAAACGCCCATAGAACTAAATAGTTAAAATGAAAATGAGGGTTAAATTCGTTGGGAGCAAAAAAAATCCAAAATGAATATATGACAAAATTTGTTCTCACACCATTCTCACAACAATCCTAGCCATGCATTGAAAACATCTCCATACTTAACGGAACCAAACACCTCCCAGATATCGAACCATGGCCATAAATGCATTTGGATGGAATGATTTAAAAGTAGAACTATGGTGCACGTGCGGAGTCCTCAATGAATTCTCCGCATTTATATCATCTGAAACAAACAAATCCCCGCGTAGTAAAGTGGAGGACGAGACCTTTGGCGACCTCCATGTGTTAAGTGCAAACTATTCTCTATTCCCCATTCACCTTGTCTTTTCTTATCAGGTTCTGGTTCTCTTCAATTGACCTTTACCTACCCAGTACCAGTATCCTCTTCAAGACTAAAAAGAAACACAGAGAAACAAAATAATGTTCAATAAGTCAAAGTTCCACTATTGGATCATTTTCTAAATACCTAGGGTTTCTGAGTTTTGATAACTTGATAAGATCACCATCACCAACCCAAAAATGAACACCCCATCCTTTAATTTGGGTTTATGGATGATGACCCAAAAAACAATTAAGGGTCTATTTGGTTTGCAGTTTGAATTGAAATCGGAATGAGAATTAAAATCCATCAGAACCGGAATGGTCTATTCCTTCTTTTTACCTTGTTTGGCTCATAAGGGAATTGAAATCAGTTGAAATGAATTCTCACTCCTAAAGGAAGAAGAGGGAATGATCATTCCTTCAAATGGGGGAGTACCATTCTACCAAGAATGGAAATAAATGGGATTCCGATTCCACCAATCAAACGATTGAAATTCTGATTCTGATTCCAGACCCCTATTCCCACAGCCACAAATAAAAACGGACCCTAAGTACCTTGTTGAATTAATGATGACTAATGCTAATTAACTTGGAAATAGAATTGCTTTCAAAGTACTGTACTAGAGACCCTGGCATGGACACCAGAGCAGCGTTGAATTATTTGACACTTTGTTTACATGTGAACAATTCAGATCTAGCTAGAATCAGAAGTTCTCCAAAGCTTTTTGTCACTTTCATCCCTCTTCACCTGTGAAATCTTCCCAATGAATCTCGTGAAGGAAGTGTCTCTTTTTCTCTCTTATAGATACAATGGCTGAAACCTGCAACTCACATGAATATATTCCACTGCACAATGTTACGGTCATGGTGCGTATATAGGACTGATGCAGATGGAAGAATGGTCCACATGATCAGTTCTCAGTCCCAGACATAACCAAATAGAAGGTCTCGACTCTGGATTGGCCACACCATCCTTCCAAAACTCAACATGGTTTAAAAATGAAAACTCCTTCAAACAAGTCGCATTAATAGCTGTGCATGATATCAAAAGATACAATCAAGGTTTTAAAAATTGATCCGGAACCGGAACTGTTCCCGGCATCGTTTCCGGCCAACAGTTTTGATCGTCCGGTTTAAATAGATGACCCATTCTAAATAAAAAATAAAAAATGGCTAAAACAGTTGAACAGGGTTTGATCACCTGAGTCAACGGATTGTTAACCAATTCAATGATATTTAGCCAAGGATCGGTTTTCGGTACCCAATCTAATAAAAAATAAAAATAATTAAAATAAAAAATGACTAAAACAATTGAACAGGATTTGATCACTTAAGTCAACGGATTGTTAACCAATTCAATGATATTTGGCCAGGGATCGGTTTTCGGATAAAACAGAACCGGTTGCCTCCAACCATCCGCGTCAACCATGTTTGGAAAACATTGGATAAAACTGAAATCTTACAAAGAGTGAGAAATTTTCTGCCCCATTTCTATAATGAAACTGCAGATGGAGACTTGGGAAATAACATCTCGTGGGTGTTTCTTTTTCTTCTTTTCTCTTAAGTGGGATCACTTTTCAACGTTCAAACTTGGGAGGATAGAAAGAATCAAGGTTGATAAGTTTCAAAGAGGGAGTGAATAACTAAGCATGCGTTCAAGTCTATCCACTCTTCCATACTTTTCCCTCCACTATGCATTTGGCGTTTTGTTATACTGAATAGAAAAAGCTTGGTAGATCACCATAGAGTGAGTGGCTTATATACATAAAGAAAAAGAGAAATCAATGCACTTAGTAGTTGTGTTGTGGTTAACAGAGAGGAGTTAGACCACATTAAGAGACAATTAGTGTGCTGACTAAAGATTAACCTTGTTGACTTGGTTATATGCCCAAGGTGAGTAAAGAGGACCATTATCTTCTTTTTGGTAGACAAGGAGGACCCTTATCAGAGCTTCTCATGAGAGTCACTTGTAGCTTTTGATCAAGAAATCAAACTTGGAGAGAAAAAAGGGCAAAGATCAATGATTCAATATAAAGATATCAGACCTGTGAAAAAGAAAAAGGAATGAGTGATTCAATATATCCTATAGACATATGAGAGAGAGAGAGGAAATGGTAGTAGTAAGAGGAACAGAAAGCATCACCCATGAGCTAAGATTTAATGAATGGTAGTAACATAAAAGAAGAAACAAAAGCATCAATTAACACTTAGCTTTTCTTTCTTTTTCTAATGAAGAGCAAAGACGGGTCGGTCCTCTTTCCTCGAGATGCCATTTTGTTGGAGTTAGGACAGATTCCCTGAAACTGCTTGTGATGCACACATGACAATACCTAAAGCAAAAGCAAAGGTGAATATAAAAGAAAGTCTCCCTCCTCTTCAAGGCAGAAAGAAACCCACTCACCAACAAAAACATCAAATCCCATTAGAGGAATCCCCACTAATTGGTTCCAAGGTTAACTTGTCCTATCCTCTTCCTGCTTTGAAAATACTATTATAGCACTACTATCTCCTTTGCTCGAAACTTAAGCTGATTAAGCAATTTAATTAATGGTCTTCCTGTGACCAAACCTATCCTATAAACACCTAGAGGCACATGCTTTAGAGCTTTCTAAATTAATCTTCTTGAAATAAACAGTACAAATATGATAAAGTAACACCACTTAATTATATGCCCTTTGCCAACCCCATTACTGCATACAACTCTTCTCAACTTAGACCATTATTTTGCAATTGCAGAGATAGATGCTGAAAGTGGACTGACAACTCCCAAATTAAAAATAGTTCAAATCTAGATATTGTTAATATATAATAAAAGCAATTTCAGAGATAAGTTGGCGGTGGGTTACTGAAATGCCGAATGGGGTTCTTAAAACAACAAACACCGCCTTAGTCTTATCAATCACATTATTTCATTTCATATATAATACATCTGAAAAGAAAGATTCTTCCTAGAACACAGGTGGAAGCTCTGTGTGTGCACAACAATACTGGAGCTGGAGCTGGAGCTGGAGTCTTCTCATTCTTTGTTTAGAATTGTCATTTTTAATAAGATTAGTCTGGGATTAGCAGATATGTCCTTCCCATGTTCCAACCCAATTCATGAGGGAGAAATGCTACAAAGTTGAAAGAATAAACATCCTTCACAGAACCCAACAAGTGGTATCTTGCATGGAGGATATCATCCAAGCCTCCTAAAGAGAAACATAATCAAATCTCTCGTACATTTGAGATAACTCCTCCCTTCATCCAAGGAGCTATATTATTATATCTAACAAAGCTAATATAATATTTGTTTAGTTTCCCCATTTGAACTTTTCTGAGTTTTTTTTTTTTGTATTATTATTGGTTGTCTGAACTCTGGATTATCTTTTATAGTTTCTTCAAATTGGTTTTTGCTTTCATGTGGGTTAATTGGATTCTTTGTTATTAACCCAGAAAAACTATTTCATATAAATACAAAAAAAAATGATCCTCATCTTGTGTTGAGTATTGAGAACTTGAGACAGAGAATATGAGGCTCTAAGTGTTATTGAGAGAGCTTGGACTTTTTTTGCACGTGCGGAGAAAGGAACGTATGAATGAATCAAACGCATGATCATGGGAAACAGCTGTCAGCACTCAGCACTGAGCAGGCTGCAAACTACAGTCCAAAGGTTGACTCCTTGAAACAGTCCAAAGAGTGTTTGGGACTGGAAGAGATCAAACGTGTGATATCTCTCTCCTCTAGTTGACATCGTTGCTTTGCTCTCTCTCTCTCTCTCTCTCCTGGTGCAGTGTAGTCACATGACATGAGCATGGGGTGGGAACAGGCATGGTGGGTTGGGCCCACCAGCAGAGGTGCTGTAACTGCCTTCTTTGGGGTTTTCATGTGACCTACACAGGCTGACTGTTGATGCCTCCCTGAGGGATGTATTTATACCTCAGACCTGCACCACCACCATATCACCAACCCTTCCTAGCTCTTCTCTATCTCTCCCTCTTTGTTTCCACCTTTCCTCTTTCTCTCTTCTCTGCATTTTTTCTTCAAAACTGAAGCTGTAGCCATGAAACAAAGCTTTCGTTCTCCTGGTCTTCTCCTCTTCCTCCTTTTCCTTCTCCTCTCCTATTCAACGACAAGCGCTCGACTAATGATGCAACCAAAACAAGGTAAGAAAATCTTTTCTTTTCTTTTCTTGTGCTAAACATCCAGTTGCCCCATCTCTGTCTACTTTTTTATGGAACTTAAAGAGTTTAGAATTGTTTATAGGTGACAAGGCTGCAAAGGGTCATGAGATTGTTAACCCAGATCCCATATTGAAGACAGCAGAAGAGGATACATGGAACGTAAGATTTTATTTTTTTCTTATTATTTTGTGGGTGAGGGGAGCTCTTTCTGCTATATATATATATATATATATACTCTTTCTGCTAATCTAATTAACATGTTCTGGCTTTCTGGGTAATTGTTACAGCTGCTGGGATTGGAGAAGTGCGAGAACTTAGATGAAGAATGCCTAAAGAGGAGGATGATTTCAGAGGCTCATTTGGACTATATTTACACCCAACACCATAGGCCATAGATTTTCTCTTGTAAACATGATCATGAAGTTCCATAGCTTCTCTTATGCCTCAGTCTAAGCAATCCTTCTCCTACAGTTTAGTTTCTGTACTCAAGTACTTCTTTACTCAGCTCCTGGGCTACAAAATTTCCACAAAAATAGCTTAAAAGCCGGGTATTTGTCCCCCACTTGTTATATATATAATATATATTGAAACTACAACACCATGGTATGGATGAGTATCGATCAGTACTGTTTGTAATATCAATTCTAGCTAGTACCCTTTTATGATGGTGACTTAATCTACAAGGGATTAACTCCTTGAAATGTCTCTTTGTTCTTGAAAGAGGCAACGGTTCTTCTTGCTTTCTGGCTAGTTTCTACATAAGGGTTGGGGTTCGGATGAATAGATTGCAGTGTGAATTTGGTTCTCCATTGAAGGCAAATTAAAATTTTGCTCGAGAACGGTTATTTTTAGATAAACAAAGTAAAGATAGAGAAGAGTAAGTGGAACAAACCACCTAAGGCTAAGGGAAGGATAATCGTGTTTAGGTTACTTAACCCGGAGAAATTACTTATACACTTTTGGGTCTCAACTCTCAAGGCGAAGAATCAAGAGATGCATGGTTTGTAGCCTGAAGGCACAATGAATCGTACATCGATCTCATTGAAGAAAAATGAGGGAGAGAGAGAGGAAGGGTAAATGAGTTTTGTGGTCGAAGTCATCTTCAGTTAGTGCACGAACCCCCTCATTCATTAAAATCCATACACCATTAATTTTTGGCATTAATACGGTCGACATTGAGTTTTCAATCAAGCAAGATATTGCTGACACACGCCCATCACAAGAGTCAATGAAAGCAGACGATTGAGAGTAAAACAGTATGTGAACCCACCACCAAGTATTTATTGCTGATAACTGTTTGGTCAAAGTTTGTCGGATTTCCACTCCATCATTACACTCTCTCTCTCTTAATGCATGCATGAATGATCCAATCTCATGATGAAGCTGGAAGCCAGGCAGCCAGCACCAGGACTGAAAGAAATGGTGTCTGTAACAGGAGGAGAGAATAGTTGGGCGGCTATAAAATATAAATGCGTTTCAAACTAGGCTACTTTGACTGTCGTAGGCTGGGGATGATAAGATAAACATTAAACAACATATTCTCTTCTCTATAAGAACTGGCCAGGACTCAAACAGACTTGACTTGACCTCCATGACTGGGCGATTTGTTGCAGCGGAGATATGATATGAAAGGATTAGATAGGTGGTGATCAGAATTTCAGGCCCCTTTACCTCTTTTTCGTAGAGTCACGGTTTGTATGGCTTTGATGAAATGAAGAAAAAGGAAATGTTTGTTTTTTTATGGTTCGTAGAAATCACGGTAAGAGAATTATAAAAAGAAGGTCAAATACATTACCATACTCCGTTTAGTCTTGAGCTACAGAGTCAACTTAGAATATGTTTGTTTTCAAGAAAAAAGTAGGGAAAGGCAGGAAAACCTATAGAAGGTTTATATAGATCTCCCTGCCTTTTCCTTCCTTTCTCTACTTTTTCCTTCAAACCAAACACAGTTTTAAAGAACTGTCGTGATACCATTATAATGGTATAATGGTAGGCATCACCACCACCACCACCAGCTGTCATGAGATTACCATACTTCCTCCCACACTCATCCATGTTCTGAGCACGTGGTTTTCAGCAATTTCAAATCTCATTTAGAGAGAGAATGCTGAAATAATGCAGCAGTCGCAGTCAGCAGTGGTTCCAACTTCCAACCCCATTCCCCCCCTTTTCGAGGGGGAAAAAGTGAAGCGGAAAACAAAAACAAAAACAAAAAAAGAAAGAGGGGGTCCGACTTTAATAACCTTGAAAAAAAAACCCCTGAAAAAACTGATGATGGAACCGGCATCATTCAGACCTTGTTTGTTTGCAAGCTATTTCTCCGATTTTTTTTTATTTTTTTTTTGTCATGAACTTTATCTGCTGAGTACGCGAGACAATTTATCTTACCCATGTTCTTTTGCATCAATTATTTTTTACGGGTAATTGATCATTTTTTTTTTCTCTATTACTATTTTCATTATGGGACAAAGTTAACAAGTTTTTCCTCACAAGGGCATTATCCTGAAAATTTTCCCTCCCCAATCAAGAATGATTTATCCACCTAAAACTTGGATAAGTGAAGAAAAAACTTACCGGAAGAAAAATTTACTTACCATAGACTGATGGACCGTTAACTTCCCATGCACCAAATGCCCCCATTCCAAGTTCCCAAATTCCAACATACAGGCAAAGAACTGCCTCCAATGCTTTTGCATTCAAATTCCCAACCATAATTTGTTGATTCATGATCGGTTAAAATTTTTCAGGTACCACACCTTCCAGTATCGTAAAAATAAAACGCCACAATAATGGCTTCATCGACATAGGGGACCCGTCGACTTGTCAAAATCTCAGAATTAAACCACTGTCAATAAGTCAACCTTATCGTACTGTAATAATATCTAGCAATGCAAGCCAAAGGGGTGTTGTGTTGTGCTGCACCGTCCTTGATTCATAATGAAGAGCTTCCAATTATCCAATATTCGTTTTTTTTACTTTTTCCAGCGACATCCAATTAAAGAAACTCTTAAACATTGTCCTGGATCTCACAACGCACATGAACAAAAGATTTCAGGTACCCATACCCATCAATCAAATCATATAAAAACAAAAACAAAACCGTCCACATTATGAAAGACAGAATTACTTGACAAGCATGAGAGAGAGACAATTCAGAATACATCTTGAAAGCAGGATGAGAAAAAGTAAAGGGACTCGATTTATTGTCTTCCAAAAGTGAAGGTTGTGAGAGACCACATTTTAACAAAAGAAAACCAAAAGTGAAGCATGCATCAAAACTTCCGTTGATATTAACAAAACAAGTACATCCGCCAGTCATTTACTCTAATCGCAGAGCTGATTGCACATGAAGCGGCCGCCTTGCCAGACACTGGAACCACCAAAACTTAATACAGAACAGAAACATAAAGAAACACAAGCGATATTAGTCAAGAACGCCAAGGTAAAAAACCATGTATGGAATTATAAAATTTTCTTTCAAAAATGTGAAGAGAAGAAAGACAGTGATATATATAAGTGGGAGCAGTTCAGCCCCAAGGAATTCTTTTTTTTTTTTTTTTGAGTAGCCCCAAGGAAAATTTCAGACATGGGCAAACCAGCATGACAATAATCATGCACATGTAAGCTGTTATAGGGTAAAATCTGGATAATCCATGTCAGCCTTAACTGATTGAGCCCATATTACAAGGAAGGGCACGCATTCTTCACCCTAGAGCATCATGTCTCCTGCAAAATAAAAAACCCACCACATAATAAAACGTCTAGAACTAACCTCTGAAACAGCAATGTAATGTTCACACATTTCTTATCAAGAGAACTTGTCAGTTTCCAATATCAATGGGACAGCAAGAATATTATGATAATGATAAGAGAAACAAGAAGAATACTTCTTGTTAAGAGAAACTAAATTCATCCTACACACCAGGGCACCTGAATATTAGCAATCTATCCAACCCTACACAAACAAAAGAAATTCTCGCAAATTTTGCACATACCATCTGTTAAACAATCCAACCCCATGATAGACACATTCAGGCTCTGAAATAGGGTTCTCACCTAGAAGACCTAATGAAAGCAACATAACAAATGTCTATAAAGTTTGTTAAGATCAAGATGGTTAATACCATCCAATATGGTCATTATTGTGGATTGGGAAATCTGGTAGAAAAATAAAATGTTGGTCCAACCAGTGTTTTAAAAGCACAAGGCGCAGGGGTCAATTTGCGCCTGAGGCGCAAGGCGCAAGGTGAGGCGTGCCCCTTTTTGAAGCAAGGCACAAAAATACAAAAAAAAATGCTAACAAATAAAAAAAATGTCAGAAAATTCAAAAAAATAAAAAAATATATTAAACATAATATTACTAAAAAATATAAAGTTAAATTTTAAAATAATGTTTTAAAAAACCTATTATCTAAAATTAAAATACATAAACATAAGATGTAAAGCATATTCAAATGAGAATTTAAAAATAAAATATAACATATAAAACATTTTCAAGCATGTAAAACCTCTAATCTCTTTTGTCACTCAATTGCAATACTTCACATAGCTAATGTAATGTAAAACATATTACATTCCTGATTCTACGAGCCGCCTTTGTGCCACACCCCTTGAGGAAAGCCCAAATGTGGACTTGTTTTTTGTGTGAAAACTAAGAAATTAAGACCTAATGTGGACTTGTTTGGGCTTGCCTCGAGGAGCATGGCATGGGGGTCCAGGGGTGGAGCCCCTGGCCCAGCCGTTATGTTCAAAAAAACGCAAAAAAGCGCCAAATTTTCAAAAGGCGCGCTCCTGGGCTGAGGCGCAAGGCGCACGCCTGAAAGGACTGCGCCTAGGACCTAGGCGAGGCGCATACCCTGAAATGCGCCTCGCCTGTGCGCCTAGGTGCGCCTTTTAAATCACTGGATCCAACCACCTGCTAAGTGAAAATGGTAACCAAACAAAAACCTGTCAAGATAGAGGTCATACATATTCTCATGATTTCCTATATTATTTTTTTTCGAACAAGATCCTTACCGTTTTAATATGTTCCATCAGTCCCAAGTCATAAACTGAACTTTGTGAAATACAGTTCGAATGCACAATAGGACCTTGGGCAGCACTCTTATCAGTAGTCCCTATGTTGCCTTCTCCAACTGGAATGGTCATATAAACTGCTCCCTTAAACATCCATTCATCTCTTTCATGACTGTAAAAATCTTCAAACAGCTCCCCACATAATGCACATATGCACTGGCTTTCATCAGCAGGGATCATCAATTCACCCTTCTCCAGTTCCTTCACCAGCACTTGCATGGAAGCAATGCCCATGGATCCAGATGGCAGTCCCCCATTCTCAGAAACCCAGTCATTCAAACTTGTGTACCATCTCCTTGAAGCCCTGTGATGGATTGATTCAGGTTGCTTTGAAGCATGCCACTCCATGTGTCTATCAAGTCGTTCTTTTAGTTTAAGCCGAAGGCCACATACATTGCAATGATGAAGAGTGTCATCAAAGAGGGCGTTAATTACTGATTGATGTGGTTCTCGAATAATTTCAGGCTTAAACTCAATGCCTATAAGGTCCTTTGCCTCTGTTGTGATTTGGGATGAGGAAATCGTGCTATTTACCTCAGATTTTAAGCTATGCAACTCTTTCCCAGATGTTGTAGGAATGGTTGATGAAATGGGACCTGAAGAAACCAATATGGAGCTACTGCTTGATGGACCAAAGCAGTGATTCTGAGGCTGAGTTGGCAACTGAGTTGTGGTCAGAGTTGGTGACTCAGTTGTTGATGCAGATATCAATCCCTTTGCAAGCAATGAGCTCAAAAGATTTGAAAGTGGCTTTGGGACAGCACTAGCTATATTTGATGTCTGCGATGTTGTGCTACCTACAAGAGATGATAAAGGTGGAGGGCCAGGTGGAAGTGGGGGTAGTACTGCTGCCCTTTGAGGGTTTGCTGTTAGAGATGACACATTAACACTAGAATCCAAGCCTGATACAGAAGCTGATGCAACCATAGATGCAGAGGATGTTGCAAGCTGGACAGGAGGTGGCCCACTTGGCAAAGGGGGGTGAATGTTCAAATTAGATGGCAGTGCCCCTGAATCCTGAAAATTCAAGTTGGGAAGGCTACCACTTACTGAAGTCTTTGAGAGTAGTCCACTCTTCATAATTGCGGCCAACAAACTACTTGTATCCGTTTCTCCTGTGATATTTGCAGCAGGACTATTTGAATGGCCTTGAGCAGGATGCTCTGTTGCTTGGGGAGTTCCAGAAATTGAACCTCGATGCAGTGGTTTCTGGGTTTGACCAGAGGGCTGAGACTGGTTTAACTCAGGCTGCTGCTGAGTGAAGGGAACATGCCTTAATTGGGATAATGAAATTGAGGAAGATGAGGTATGTAAATATTGAGAGGTCTGTGACTGATTTGATGGCAAGGTACCTGACATGAGTGGAAAAGAATCTTGACCACTTGAAATTTGAGGTATTTGGTTCAATGGTCCTGGAGGTAGGGAAGTTTTTGGACCAGGCTCATCAGTCATACTGTGTGATGGTTGATGTTGATGCACTACTGAAGACGAAGGTGAATGAGAACTTTGGTGTATTGACAACTGTCCAGATGGAGAAGCAGGTCCAGGAGGTTGATGATGTGGCCCCAAAACTCCAGTGGATGTGTCAAAGGAGGTTGATGATGTTGTCAAAGATCCAATGCTTGGGGCTCCAACAACAGAGGTTGATAATGGCAGTACATGTCCTGCTTTCACAAAAGATGAACTCATGCTTGTTGACAAACCACAGATAGAGGTAGACTGCCCTTCTGACTTGCCTGAAATTAATGAAGCTATACCCATATTTATCAAACCATCTACTGGGAATGGCTTTTGTGATGACCACCCTGAGGATGTTCGATGCCCAGTTATATCTTGTCCTTTCTGTGCTATGGCTGGATCCATTGAAGTTTCTCTCTTAATCCTTGAGCCAATTTCACGTTCACTTCGAGTTTGTGATAGGTGTTCTTCAACCTCCTGGATATTAAAGATAAATCAACCAGCATAGTTAAGACAATCCAACATAGATTATAAAATGATCAAGATACACTGTTTGTTAAAAAAAGAGATATTTCAACCCTGCCAATACAAGCAAACTACGTCAAGTGGAACATTTTGAACATTTCCCCTACCAAATTTCTATAGGTATTTGTGGTCAATCTTTACCTCTTCCTACATGGGAAATGATCTCACCAAGTGATTGAATTCAACTTTATGAGTTAAAGTACAAAACAAAAATAAAGTGAGAGGATCATTCCCCATGTGTATGAGGCTTAAAAATGTATGACATGTAAAGAGCATCTTGAAGAAAGACTAATTCATATTGGGTGCCTACATCCAACATGAGCTTAGATGCAGTGACAAGTTACATGGGACCAAATCAAGTAGAAAAGGCAAGCTCTCTTTTCACTACATTTCCAAGATGGTTAATACCACACCAACAAAAATTCACAGACAAGGAGTGAAGGACATGGGTACACTCTCAAACTAATATATATTAGGAACTTAGGCTCTATTTTGTCTAAATGAAAAAGGGGAGGAAAATTTTAAGTTCGAAATATTTCAGTTATATGTTCTACCCTTTTATGGCCAAAACCTTGTTTTCTAATCCTTTACAATGGAAACAATAGACTAGAAAGAAGAAATGAAGAACATTCATCTACAGAGTTGTCAGCAACATTGACTGCTAAAGGACACAGACTCAATGCCAGGGGGTTTGAGGCAAACCATTCTACGGGCTACCATTAGGAAAATATTCATTATCAAGTCAACCTCAGACAACAACAGACACATAAATCCTCTTGCAAGGCCAGAAAACAACCACCTCCATACAGGATAATGCATCATATGGTTATAATCATATAATTGCATTTAATCAGAAGAAAAATGGTGGGAAAAACCAATTCGAATGATGGCACCTATTGTTTAACCATCTAAAAAACATAAGGCAACAAAGAGGCAGGACCCATTGCAATGAAAATCTACCTTTTGCTCCAAACGACTTCTAGCAAAAATACATATCAAATTAATTCCAGTGAGGGATCCAGAAGGTTGTTTCAAGCATCCAAAGTTTTATTTGTTTATTCATTTTGGTTTGCAAGATTACCTGCTTTTCTGCATCATCAGGAGTCCAACCATCTCCCCTTGAGCTATCAAGGGCCCCATGATCTGTCAATCTGGAATTCATATCATCCCACATATACTCCTCTTCTTCAGAGTTTTTCCAATTCCTAGAAATCCCTCTGCTGCTTCTATTTGCAATGCTCTGTGTTTGATGCAGCTGAGCAACAGGCTGTGCAGATCTGGGTGCCCGATAGCTTTGAAATCCATGTCGGCTTTCAAATCCATTCCTTTGGCTAACAATTGCATCTGTAGCCTTGCTGCCAGCTCCATACCATGGCTTGTCAAGTCCTTCTCGCTCAGGAACCCTCTCAGTGGCTCTTCCAACTACCAAGTCTGAATGTCTTGAAATATCAGAGCGATATTCATAATCCCCATATCCTGCACTACTATTTTTCTCATGAACTGGCTCGCTTAATGCTTCTTTTTGAGGACGCGGAACATTCTGCAAAATTAAATTCATTATGGTGCAATTGAAAGGGATAAAGCATTGGTAAACACATAATAACAATGCATCTTTAATAGATAAATCTGTCCATAGCCCTCCACTACTAATTCTAGCTGTTCTGTCTGACATCTCCACATGCTCATAGAGGCTACAGAACCAGTATTGTCATTTGCTGTTCCTTTTGCCTTCATCACATAAACCCAAGAAAACAGTCAAGAAAGGTCTAATGATGGATTTAGTCAACTGAATTAATCACTTATGACAGAATGAAAGGACTAAGTACAAAAATTTAAAACCAACAACTCTAATTATACCACTTTAAGGTAGGACAGTCCACATAAATATACTATGTTACAATATAGCTTTACAGATATTAATCAGATGTATTGATAAATTAAAAAGAAAATAAAATTGTATGAATATCATTATGTAGATATACACTGACAATGTTATATTCGTAAGGGTCATTAAAAAGGTAGTGGCATGCATGCCAATCCTAAGCACCCAATAGAAGGAACCAGCAACCTGATAGAGAACATAATCACCCAATCAACTGTACACATGTGGATTAATTGCTCCACAACTTGCAACATGGAAATGAGTCAAGAGGTTGAGAAACCAAGATAAGCTCTGCAGTTGATGGAGTCAACTTAAGTGGATTAAGGAACTTGTATTTTTTATTTATAAATTAAAAGAACAAAAGGAATCAAATTGAGGAGTGAACCTATGGAACAAGGACGACTAAGCAAATGCCAAAACCAGTTCTGCTTAGTAAAGTCTGATGCCTGTCACCCTTTTAAGGATACCAATCACCTAATTAAAGTCAAATCTCTGAAGACATAATTTACAATTAAGATATCACTAGTAATTTTCAAAAAGATGTAAAAATTTGATTATTAACAACATCAAGAGATTTTTATTATTGAAAATGAAATAAGAATGCAAATCTAGGCTCATCAACGACACGATACCTTTCCAAAAAGAACGGCTAACAATGCACAAGGAAATAAAGACTCATTAAAAATAGCTACCCAGGAGGGGTACCCCAGAATACATCCAACCTTCCTACACATCTAGCTAGCCCACCCACTATGAGTTGGTAAATCTTCTGATCCATTTGAACAAGATGTTCATGTTAGATGTCAGAATTCTAGCTTCTCTAATGTTAGCTAGCCTTACAAAATCTAGCTTCTATTCAATAATTCTTAGCAGCTCAGGATAATCTTACGTCATTATAATCCCTTGAAGGCACTTCTCATTAGGATTTCATTCATTTAAAATAAATACAACATTTGCTTGTCCCTCTGATCCTTGTGCATGTGGGACCAGCAAGAAGAGAACTTCAAGGACATGAAAATAGTTACAAACAAAAGTATAAAATAAAATGAAATTTTTTTGATATTTTTTCTTTTAATTTTCTTTTGGAAGGTGACTACATTTATTACTTTAACCTTCTCTACTAACTGTCTAAGAGGATCATAGTCAAACATCATGATAATGGATATCCAGCTAGGATACTGGATGTAAGCAACAAAATAGAAGTTGCTGAGGTGATGGAGGTGCAAAAATAAATCTCGTCCAAGCAAACCCCATATTGTGCATGTTACCAAAGTCTGTTCCCATTTAAAAGAAGGCCTAATTGGGGCAGGTCCTACTAACAAATACAAAAAGGTGGTACAAGAGAAGAGAAGTTAAACTCAAATCTTCCTGTCAGTATGTTTCGATTGGAGCAAATTTTAAGACTGACTCAACTCTAAGAATGGACTATCAGCCAGTGATTAATCCAATTGAGAAGCTTGAGACTAGAGTTGGAATTGAGGGAGATGAGAAGGAGGTTGGAGGAGATGTTGAAAAGAGTAGTGAGAATCAATGTTGTTAAAATCTTACGGTTTACAATACGATTCATGATTTGAATCATGAACCCCAAGGGTTCGATTCGAATCTTATGTCTGAATCCTTTTCTGCAAAAATCTTACAATTTTTGTTTGAATCCTATGATTTGATTCATAATTTTTACGATTCACTGCAGCTCAAATGAACTTAATTAAGAATTAGTTTTCTACTTTGGAATTTGTTTGTTTATATTTAATTCTGTAAAGGGAGACTTGTTTTAAAGCCCCTACTAGAAAATGGTTTATTTACATTGTTCAAGATTAGAAGTTAGAGTCATAGTTTTCAAAACCGGAACGGACCGACAATCGGACCAGAAAACTGGGAACCGGTCACCTGACCAGTTTCATTTCACCTTAAAACTGCTTTTGGCCAAAAAACCATTGATTTGGCCAGCAAACCGCTGACCTGGAAGGTGAATCGTCGACCCGGACAACGTTTTTTGGCCACTTTTTATTTTTTTATTTTTTTATTTTTTTATTTTATAAGTCAGAATGGGCCATCAATTTGAGCCACTATTGGACCATTCGACCTGGAAACCGGTCCCCACAACGGTTCCCTATCCGATCCGATTTTAAAAACCTTGGTTAGAGTTTATTCTGCATCATATGCAAATTAAATAGCCATTGCATGTGGATTTATTTGACTTTCAAGTCAAGCTTGATTATATCATCTTAGGCTTCTAATTATAAGTTGTAAATTCTATTGTTTTAGGTAGATATATGGTAGATATGGATTAAAAACAGTGTAAAATCGCTTTCCTATATACACTTAGCCTTTTAATATATCTTTAATTTTTTGATAAATTTGTAAAAAAAATAGAAATAATCTTACGATTTATGATAGGATTCATGATCCTATTCAATTTGACTTTTCCTACGATTTTCAGAACATTGGTGAGAATCCACCTGAGAAGAAAGAAGAGAAGACTGGTAGTGTGGGCCAAGGTTAAAGTATTGATACGCTACTGCGTATCGGTACTTAGAAACAAACGGAACACTTTTTTTTAGTTTTTTTTTCAAATCTTGGTTTTTGGGTAGCTAAAAATAGGTTTTTTATTAAAAAAGGTGGGGTTCCCGAAACACCTGTTGGGGTGTATCTTTTTCAAAAGATATGATACAATACGGGGCATATCGCATCGATACTTTAAACCATGGTGTGGACATTGAGAAATTTGCTGACAAGGATGTTGAGGAAGGAAAATATTTAGGTATGTGGTTTCTGGGTGGAGAGGCGTTTGTTCATAGAGCTTTTGCTGAATTTGAGAGGAGGTGCGAGGAGAGAATGAAGAAAACTGTAGGTGGGAAAAGTGGAGATGTTTGGGATGAGGAAGTTGAAGGGAGGGAGGATGAGTTTGTTGAGGAAGAATGATCGTAGTGATGGAGTTCTTCCAAGTCTATCTTTTGAAGTGTGGTCGTCAGTGGTTTGGGGAGAGATTTCTCAGAAGGTCTTGATTAGAGCGATTAATGTTTTTCCCTTGTTTGGTGTGATGGAGTTCTTGTCTCCTTTGTGTCGCATTAAGGTGTTAACCTAGCACCTTATTGGTGGTTGTAATCAGTTTTTATTTTTCTCTAATAATTTTTTTCTTTTTATCATAAAAAAAATAAGGGATGTCCAGTCAAATTCCTAAAGTTGATTGATCTTTCAGGTTGACTGCATTTCTCATAAGAGAGTATAATCTTGCTAAGTAGGTTCTTTCTAGATATAATTGTATTGAACAAAGTAGAAGTCTGATGCCTTTTTCTGAATATGGTAAGGTTTTATTTATTAAGGAAAAAAAGAAAGAAAAAAGCATACAAGGTGTATATTGATAGTAGCATCCAAGCTATTGGCTCAAGTACACTCCACACTAGTCAAAACCCCACCAAAGGGGCCTAAGCCAAACCTCCGAGAAAGAGGCCCAAGCCCTCAAGGAAACAAACAATCCAAAACAACAAACCCAGACAAAGTAGAGCAACAAACCACACAAAACCCTTATAAGCTCAAACTCATCACACAACCTAACACAACAAGAAAACATAAGGAAGAGTCAACCAACACGCACAAACCTTCCCTTGCCTCTTCTGGCCCTCCCTCTGGAGCTATGAGAACCCTTGGGAATAGGCTTCACCACTGTCGCATCATAAAAATCCGCAAGTTTCTTGGACCTTTGACTTGGGAGGTAATCCAAGTTAGCAAAGGAGTAACTTGAGCTTGTGTTGTCTAACTCCAAATCACCCTATGAGCTAGAGTTTCAAATCATAGATGGAGTGCAAGAGAAGTTTCCTTGGCTTTGATCCACTCACATACTGGGTCCTCTTGCCCCCCTGTGAATGAAGCCCCAAGAAAATTGCCAAAAGACATCAACTTCTCCACTCTAAGATTCACATTACTAGAAAGTGGGGAGGAGCCGCATGTGCAAGGCCTAGAATCTGCATGATTCAAATTCTCAGCTAGATCCAAAGTCCACCAGCTCAGAAAACAATCTATTGAGGAGACAAAGCATTGTCTCAAATACTCAACCCAGTAACAGCCACATCAACTTATGCAGTTCCCAAGGTTGGGGAGCCAACCTCAAAATCTTGCAATAGACGTCCGCTAGAGGGCTCTTCATTTCTACAAGGCCCCTTAATAGCTCTGAATCTCTGCCATACAATGCCCACAAGAATTAAACCTTGGGAGCTTGCAAAGGTGTCACCATAGGTTTTGGGTAAAGCGATGGGACAACAGTTTCCAAATGGGCCTCAGGTCGAGGTAACGAAAGACAAGAGGGTAGTGGGTCCAACAAACTGAAACAGTTGGGCTTGGATCCAGTCATCCGGATGCACCAACCTGGTTCGTGTTTTCATCTCTGCTTGTTTAGGAGCAAAGAGCGCAAATTCAAAATTTGAAAAGTGTGCCTGAGAAACCGAAAAAGGAGAAGATGAAGCAAGAACAATTTGGAGATTAGAGTCCGTCATTCCTGCTAGTGAAGGCTTGCCATCCATTGTGTTACCCACCGTAACACCTTTGGCAAATGAAGAACCACAACACCTCCTAGATCTTGGTTTACATCTTTTCCATTTCACTCTTCCACCATGAGACACTAAAGAAGGTCGTTGACCTTTGGTATTGGAGCCACCATGACACACCGACTTCGCCTCAACTAGCTCTACTGCCCATTGATGAACAAAACAACTTTCGTTTGAGACCATAATGTTGACCTAGGAAAGCAAAGCTCTGCCAATCAGAAAGAGTTTCCAAGTCTTCTACTGCTATTCAAAGCCAAGTACCTAATACCCCTTACTACTAGCTCAACGAAATTGGAAATATCACGGACTGCTTTACTCCAAATGAGCAATCGAAGGGACTTGATGTTGCTCCAAGAGAGATTTGATGAGTCAGCTGGCTATGAAACCTCCATCTGCATCACCACTTTCTGTGAAAACCGCTGGACACCGAGAATGGAGGGGTTCCGAAGACTTGAATCCACCAACAGTCGTAGCAACTCCTCTATCTCTCCAAACAAGCTGTTGGAGTCCATCGAGAAAGGAACATGCAATGCCCATTTAGCCATGACTTGCCCGAGTGCAATGCACTGATTGCTTATGTCTTAAAAGAGAAGATTAAGAGCATCCTGCTCCCTTCCAACTTTCTCACTTTCAGTTTCGTTAATAAACTCCAGGACAAGAAGCCCACCTTTCTACCTCTCCAAGGTCTGGGCAGATTCCTAAGAAACGAATGGCCAAACATTGTAGGAGAAAGTCTTCACACTCTCTAATCCTGCCCTCTGCAATAAGAATCTGATGCCTATTTTTTACCTGTCCTGTTGTCTACTCTAGGAATCATGTGCTGGTATTTCTTTTAATAAATGTACCAAGTTGTCAATCTATCCAAAAAAATGATAAGAATAGATATTACACTTGATCTTAGCCAAAAGGACGGCGACATAATATAAAATATATGACTAATCAGAAAAAATCTATCAAAAAAAAAAATCCACCATGTTCTCAGGTTTCAGGAATAGAAATCATGTAAGATGCTACAAAGAAGATACTTTATAAGTTATAACATGCTACAAAGAAGATACTTTATAAGTTATAACATACTTGCAATGACATTTAAGTTCATAAGCATTAATTAGAAGATGGGTTAGAAGATGGGAATAAACAGTACATGGAAGACCTGACAATACATTAACAATGGCCAGAAAAGCAAACTCCCTTGCTGATCCAAGAATCAATTAGTGAAATATTTATAACCCCATAGTAGAGTGTAACAACTATACAAAGTAGACATCAACTGCTCACAGTAGCTTATTGCAGAACTTGCAACATCCATATAATATCTTTGGAACATGGAACAATGAAGGATAGAAAGCCCAGTAAAAGCATTTACATTAAGAAAGAAACTAACAAGCAAGACAACTTAAGGGATCCATCATGCATATCCAGTAGCATGAGAGCAATATATTCAATATGCAGGATGACTACAAACTATCAGAAGTCAAATATATCACTGCACTCACCCTACTTGACTGTTGAAGGCGCTGCCTTGCCTCTAAGTACTTTGGATTTACATGAATGCTATGAGATGGGCGTTGTGACTGAGAATCAGGCACAGGCCTAGATGCTGTGCCTCCTGATGATGAACCATTAAAAGGTTGGAATCCTAGCTCTTTCTCAATCATTTGAAGGGTTGTGGGGGGAAATACCCCTTTCCAAGTGCCAAAAAGATGCCTCATACTAGGATGAATTGAGGGATCCACCTGTCGATAGGCCTTGCAGAATACCTAGAAAAAATAATAAAATATTGACAAATAGCAGAAACAATAAATGACATGAAGCATACCAGCTAACTCAGAAAAGTCAAGAAGCACCGACATAGAGTGAAGTTAAAGAAACACATAAACAAGCAAAGAGTATACACTGCAACCAATTAAAACTTCCAAGGAACTAAATAGCTTCAGAAATATAAAGTGTTTAAACCTAATTTGTTTTGCAGATCTATCAGATACAAAGAACGCATCTAAAGAACCAATAAAAATTATGGTTAATAGGATCAGCCTCAAGAGTAAGTGAATTTCTCCAATATATAAAGAAAAAAATATGAACGGAATACAATTTCTAGGAATTACTCCACGTCATTGCAGATGAAACAGGTTGATGGAAGAACTAACCTCAGGTAGTCTGGCAGCAAAGTGTTTAATATAATCCCTCGCAATATTCTTTACAATACTATCTAAAAGGTAGAGAGATGGCAGCTTCTGCTCACTAGGTACCTGCAAATTATGTTCCCAAACATCAGAAGAAAAAAACATAACCGAGCTTCCTCAAAAACTAATATGATAATTAACATTTATGAAGAATAAGGTTCATTGAATAGATATATAGAAATCAGCAACCTAAAACACTATAGCATGGTTCAATAGTAAATAGGAAAAAAAATAACATAACAAAGGATCATGATACAGGTCAACTATCAACCTCTAAATGACAACAGAATAAATCTGATAAATCATCTGATGGTAGGAAACCTGGAGAGGGCCATTGACCATTTAACCACATCTACAGATTTGGGCTTTCAGTAAGAACAAGATCCATGTAATGACAAGTAGGAATTCCATTCCTTAGGTTTTTTATCACTATTTAGCCTCCAAATAATGAGAACAGAAAGATGCCAACCAAAATGAAAATGAAATGAGGAAGAAGGGCAATCAAGGAGTACTTTCCATGTAATCAACATGGAAACGAGAAAACATTTCAGCACAAATCATCTGACAAACAAGAAGAAATAAATGTCTGTTTTGACTTTTGTGCACATGAACTGGTTTTCTGAATCAGATGCCTCCAACTGAAATGCAGCTAATTCAAGCCAATTTTGAGTAAATCTCTTAGGATTCACGGAATAAATATCAACATGAAAAGGAACTCTGACAACCATGACCCCTCAAGAAGGAGACAAGTAGTTTTCAAGAATCTAACCTTCCAATAAAATGAGGGTCTCTGAGCAACAGAAAGAGAAGAAGATCAACGGGAGCTGGAATGAAATGTTACCACACCACCTACAAACCCTTGATGTTACAGTCTGTACCATGTACACATTTATTCAGGCCCATGGAAATAAGGCAATCTCGGCAGTTGCTGGATCTTTGATAGAGTTTTACGAATTTGACCACCAGGATGCTGAATGTTAAAAGGACATCCACATGCATGATGGCAAAGAACTTGAAACAAAAACTTCTGTTCAAGAACAGAACTTGCCATTGTGAAGGCAAATTTGGCTAGAAAGCTGATACAGGACCTATCCCCCCAAATGAAATGATAATCTAGTAATGTCCTATACACCAGTAAAGCTACAAGGGATGTAAGAGATCATTCTGAACACATCCACAGTTCTCCACACCAACATGAGATATACTCCAGTAAAGCAGTCTGCTCACTGCAAGGCAGTGATCTTCAAACTTACTCATAGGGATATGCTTATGTATGCAAGTTAACATCCAGCTGATCTCCTGTAGCATGCCATAGTAAGAAATTGTAGGTATTCCACAGCCTCTTAATTGATTCAACACGTCAACTGGACAAAGGAGCTTCTCCCAGGCCCATATCAATGATAATTTATGATATTGGCAACCTTATTTACAACAAGGAAGAGCATAATATGGTAAGTGGTGAAGAAATATGAGAATCATCTTGAAGCTTAAGGCCAAATCACACATTCAGAAGTTAGGAAGATAACCAAAGGAAAATGATATTTGACCACGGAAAACCCACATGCAGACTATACTGTTTCTTGCTTACACATTCAACCTGCAATCTTTGTTTACTGACCTTGCATCGTAGACAATTTGAAATGTTACCAGAGACGGGGACCAAGCAAGTAAAGAATTCTGCTGAGAATTCGTATCATGTATTTGCCATGATATCTACATAAAAATACATAAAGACCAATCTGGTAATAAACCTTCCAGTGCCATGATCAATAGATTCTTGATTCCAAGCATATGACGAATTAAAATCCATTATTTCGAACTTCAGTAGTTCAGTTACAGTCTAAGATTTGGTATTCCACTATTCTAGATCAATAATGAAGGCATGCATTCTGCTTTGCGAAAAGTTGCGAAAAAAAATTAAAAAGTAGGTCTATTTTTTCCCTTTTCCTCAATGAGCTATTACAACGCAAACAACGCCAGCACCAAAATGAGAAGATAATTCTGAATTCATCACACAAAGAGTTACAGTCGATACAGTAAGGAAGAACGGCATAAACCGGTTCACCTCAAGAATATTTGCATAGACAGTGGCAGCGATGCCCTTTGCAGCATGAAGGTTCTCCCCGGCAATGATAGTTAGATTAGTAATGATTGGTTTCGAATTGAAGGTCAGCTCTGCAAGAGCGGTCTTATACTGAGTAACAAGTTCTTGATGTTGCTGTTGCTGATGCTGATAAGTTCCTCGAACAGAGTCATCTCTCTCTCTATCATTCGTTCTAAACCTCGAGAGCAACGGCCTTGCTCCGGCGCCGGAAACGGCAGAGGCTCCTCTTTGTGGAAAGGGTCGCTCACGATCGACGACGACACTGTTTGAACTCCGATCCCGCTCGGCCTCTTCAGCCAACCTAGGTTTCTTCAGCCCTGGTTCTCTCGACCTATCAATGGATCTACGCGAACTCTCCATTTACATCTCTTATACAAACCCAATATTTTAAAGAAGAAAAAAAAAAAACAAAAATAGAAACCCAAAACCCTAACCCTTATCTTCTTTATGTTACAGAGACATGGAAGAATAAAAAAAATAAAATAAAATAAAATTAAGAGCAGAAACTGAAAAAGACGGTTGGGAGAGAGTCCCTGAAAACCCTAAGCCAAACAGCTTTACATGGAATCATACAGGGGAGATGGTAATTGATTCAGAAGGAGTGTTGGGGCCGACGAAGAGTAGTCGAATTTCGTAAATTGAGGAGTGAAGGAGCATTTGGTTCGAAGGGAGTAGAGGGACTAAGAGAGACAGAGACAGAGAGAACGACGGTGAAAGTAGATGAAGCTGGTTGGGTCTACGGGCATCTTCCGAATCGAAGGTCAAGCGAGTGAATCGAGTGGCGGTGAAACATGCGACCCGGTTTCTCTCCCCTTCAGTCTCTTTTTTTTATATTTTCTCGTTTTACTTTTTGTTTTTCGACAGACAGAGTCACAGAGAATGAGGGAAGAGATCAAAAGAGAGAAGGTTCGTTGTGGTAAACTGGTAATTAGAAACGGATTACCACTGGGGACCGCCGTAGGGGTGCAGCGGGTTGGGCGGGCTTTATGGTCAATTTTTTTAATTCGAGTCCAGACCGTATTATAATTTAATGCATTTGGATTAGCTCAGGCCCGAGCTATTTTTGGTTTGTTCAATAAACCAATTCTAAAATTATAGATATACTGAATACATACAAAATTGTATGTATGTACTATGTGTATAATTAGGCTGAACCCGGCTTAAGATAAGGTTAGATTGTAGATTGGGCCCAGGTCAGGTTTAAGCTACTTAAAGGCTAGTCCCGAGCCTAATAAAAAAAATAAAAAAACCTGAAGTCTTAGGCCTGAACCCAATCTGAGACCAAAAATCCACGTAAATTTTGGATTGAGTCAACTTAGACTCGGATTGGATCTACCCAAGTTGCACCCCTACTAGATCGGGGATCAAAGAGTGAAAGAAGAATTTTTTTAGAATCACTAAAAAGGGCCTATAAAAAGTAAAATGGATCATCTAACTATATATTCTAGGGAAAATATCTTAAACTATCCCCAAGTTTTAAGAAATGGATTAACTCTACCCCTATTATTTACAAAATTTGTTACAGTACCCAAGTTTCCAAACAAATGATACAATTGATATCATTGTTCAATTTCGAAGGAAATAATGAAATGTCAAATTTTTCCTTAAATAAACAATAAATAAAAATAGGAAATGTATGTGATAAAGAACAAAAAAAATAAGAAAACATAGAGGCATAACTAAGAGGACGTTAGTCGGTGACTCAGTGGACAAGAACAAACGAACCGTTCTATACATCTCATATCTACCCACCCTGCACAAGTTATAAATTTTTTTCTAAAATCTAAATGTAGTTATGCAGAACATAGAAATTCCTCTCCTAGAATACTAATTACCATCATTCCCAATCTTCTGCATTTTGTTGATATATTGGGGGCATTCTTTTTGGATTTTGATAGGGGGGAAAGTTAGTCAATGGGATTTTAGTTCCCATTGACCAAAGATTCCATGTTCTTTTTCAGCTTTATGTGGGGATTAGGGAAAGTTTTCTTAGGTATAACTTATCTAGGAAAGTGATACCCATCTCGTAGGTGGATAAATACTTTCCTACATAGGGGGAAAGTTGCCAACACTTTAATGGGACAAAAATGCTCATTTTAATAATAGATTTTTACGGTTAAAATGATCATTGCCTTATTTACCTGGGAAATAAAAGGACACGGGTAAACGCACTTACTCAAATAAGTGTTTCTCAGGAAAAATTTATCCAGGTAATTGCATTTACTCGGCTAAGTAACTTACCAAAAAGTGAACAGGGCCACACAGTCAAATTTTAAAAAGTTAAGAAAAAATTAATTCCCATGATTGTAACAAATCAAGGCTTCTACTATTGAGTGCAAGAAAGGAGAAAATCATAGTTGAAATTATACCATGTAGAAAAGATTTCAAATTAGCTGAAAGCCTTATCTATAAAGCAAGTTGTGGACCTAATGAAATGCCCCACGCCAAGACAAAATACATGGGGCCCACACGGAGAGGTTGAATGATTTTGGGCCCATGTATTTTATGGCTGGTGTGGAGTATTATTATTGGTTACACAGCTTGCTGAATCCTATCTCGTGTAGAAGTACAAATAAGCTTCCATATGGCATGGAATCATAGATGCAAATTATTGGTTACACACCTACAAGTTGAAACTGTGTTTGGAAAAGATGCATATGGAGTGTAAATCCTGATTCAGGGTAAATTTGCACTCTGGTCCAGTTTTGATTGTGTTTGACAACAACAGAAAACATGTTTTCCATTGCATATTTACATCGATAATGAGATATAAAAGTATATCAATAAAAAAGAAGTGAATTTTCATTCAAGTGGGCTTTTGATAAAAAAAAAAGACATATTTTATTGGAATTCGTGTTTGCATCCATTGCAACTAAAAATTTGTTTTGTTAGAAGGTAAATTTGTCAGTACAAAACTAATCCAACTTTACAATTTAGATGAAACATATTTGTATTGACACTTACTTGCATCATTTGCTAACATAGTTGTGTTTGAAAATGATGTAACTGCAAATTTGTAGGGGTAAATTAACATTCTACCGGTTTCAAAAAATACAAATCTTACTTTTGTATGTTTGATTTCCTTCCATCTTGTTTGGCAGCAACTATGTAAATCATGCACTTTTGCCAGCATTCGGAAACTTATAACGATGTAAACAAGCATTCGACTGTCTTCTCCCATCCCAGTTGCATCAAATAACACAACAGATTTGAAACCTCTTATCTCAGCCCCGAATGACTAAACTATACAACTCCCTCAATCCCAAATCATCCTATTCGATGCAACTGAACCAGAAAGTAAAACCACGTGTTTAATCAAACCAGAAATTAGCAAAACAGAGCCTATCTTTGATATTCAAACCGCTCACGACAAGCACACAAAGATACTTAGACATGAAGATTTGGGAAGCAAACAATGTTAAACAAAACGGATGACAATATATAAAAGACAAAAGAAAGAGGTACGATGAACCTGTTACCACATTTGTCGTTAGCCAAAAATTCCACAGAGAATGGCCCTACAAAACCCCACCGTTGTCTCTGAATTATATATCAGCCTGATGTGGGATGTTGCAATAGGGAAGTATTCCTACATTCGGAACATTTGTTCTTGGAGGTAGATGTCGGAGTATAAATGGGATTTGAGAAAATGGTGATACCTCACTGGAAATCACCACTGTTGTAGCTTGAGTGGAAAACATGGGATGAAGAAACTGACCAACAGTGTCGTATATGCTGGAGAAAATGAAGAGGAAACCTAAGGAGAATCACTATCATATAGAGGAAGATGATGGGGATGAAATAAATGTTAGTAGATTGGCTTTACCTGATGCCGCCGTCGAGGTTAGTTTGAGAATGTGAGGGACGATGAGCGGTGAATTGAGTGATTGATGGAGAGAAAGGATGAGAAGAGAGAGAGAAAGATCACCGAAGCATCGCTGCCAAGAGTTGCAGCGGCGGTGACTGGTAGATACGAGAGCAGGAAGGAGGAGAAGACGATATGAGAGTGAGAGGATGAGAGAGAAGAGATTACCAGAGGGAAAGAGGTCGGTGGCGGGAGAGAATAGCTTGGAGTTGGAGGGAGGGAGTTCGTTGCCTCCTTTGCTGTCACCGTAGGTTGAAGATGAAGGTAAAGTCTTCACCTATTTCCATCGATGGAAATGGGTGTGAATATTTACTTCGTTAAAATCGAAGTAGTTTTTCACCCGAAGATGGAAGTAAATTCTAACAAGATTTCAAATTTACTTCCATATTAAGGGTATTTTCACATCGTTCCCAAACACATGAATAGAAATGCTCATGACTTCATTGATCAAGGTGTCATCTTAAGAGGCTTCACAATGTTTTCTTTTCATTGCCATTTTTGCAAATAGAGTAAAAGAAACAGAAGGAAAAGGAGGAGAATTATGTCTACCCCAATAATAGAAATCTCAATAATCGCCCCTGTATGTGCTTCTTAGACCAGTTCCTACTATAGGGGTGTTTGTTGTTGGCAATGGAGCCTAATAGATGAATAATGTGTTGTAAGGGCTCAACGGTCCACCACATAGATTTAGATTGACGAAGAATGACTTTAGTGGGAATTTCACTAGGGTATCAGGGATGAAACCATTAAGATTGTGATTAACACACTGAAGTTGAATAAACTAGCGGGATTAATGCTGGTGAGATTGTCAAAGAAGCTATTGTTGTTCTCCAGGAAGCCAAGCCGAGCCACTAACCAACATCAACTTGGTTTTGCCTCTACGTTTTCTTTTTTTTTGGTTTTTACTACCTACATTTCCAAGAGGCCAAGCCAAAAGAGCATCTTTTACTACAAAAAGGTAATAATGGTATTTAAAAAAAAGCAAGTCATGTGGTGTCACATGTGAACATATTATGACAAAATGTTAATGGTAGGGGAGGATTTAGTCAATTGTCAAAAAAATTGGGGATATTTCAAGGAATTTTGTAAACAATAGGGATAGAATTAGTCCATTTCTGAAAACTTAGGGGTAGTTTAAGATATTTTTCCTATATTTTATCAAATTAGTTGTATGAACTCTAGTTTGAGTCTGCCCATAAATGCTTCTTGAAAAGAACATAGTCGCTAACAACACAACATCCAACATAAGGAGTTCAATTTGGCAATTGGATTCCCTACAAGCAAAAACTATGCACACATCTGGGCTTGCAAGAGATCTGGGCTCCAACTCTTCCATCTTCTCCCGACAAGCCAATAAGCACACTAGGATCTACGACCTAGAAAAATGCTACTCATACCTACAAGACATTATAACCACACATCAAGAACATCTCTTGTACTTGTATATTGTCATTCATGAAGAAATGTTCCCAATGTACTAATGTAGTGTCTTGTAGGTAGTGTGGGTAGCAGATTCGAAGTCCCAATAAAACTCCCAACAAGACACGGGATCCACTGTAAACATTGTGTGTGAAGTAGGCTATGTAACTAATTACAAGTGAACAACACTAAAGTGTTCCGTACACATGTGGGTGTGGGTCCCATATATACAAAACATTGGTGTATTCACCCATAATTGGTTATGTAGCTAGTACAATACTTTTGTGTGCAAACCAGGCTTTACTTGGCTCCAATCATGGTCAAACTTTCATCTAATCACCTATTGATTTGCATATTTAAACTCTATATTTAGAGGTGCAACATGGACAGCCCAACCCAAACCCAAACCAATTAGCTTGCAATTTTACATCGGTTGTTGGGCTTGGATTTTCGATCCTCAAGCTATGCCTAGGCCTAAGCTCAGCCCGACTATACACATACATACATACATGAATGCATGCATACATGCATACATACAGACATATATATTTGCATAAATACATATATATGTGTACACATGTATGTCAATTTTAGAGTGATTAATTGACAAGCCCAAGCCCAAGCCCAAGCCCAACCTGATTACATCAAATTTCAGTGTAGATTGGGCTCAAGATGGAAAGATCAGGCCTGACTTTAGGCTCAAGCCTTAGGCCTAAATCTTAAAGTTGGGCTTGGGTTGAGTATAAACCCAACCCAGCCTACTCTACTTGCACCTATCTATATTTTAAACCCTAAACCCTAAAGTTAACACTGAAAATGCATGTGGTGGGATGAATGTCCTTGGATTGAGTAAGAGCCAACTATTGCCCATATAAACCAGACTTTTTTGAACACAACTTTTTTATAACTTTCTCATCTAAGAAATACGATTCATTGATGTAAGCATGATATAATAATTATATGGTGTGGTTCAGTCCATAATGGTACATGCGATTAAAAAATAAGTAGTGAAAGTACACCTACTCATAACTCACATAATTAATGTTCACACACCATGGTTCGAAAAATCAACCATAAATAAAATAATCCCTTTTGCATTTTGTGAACATGAAAAGGTGCATTGCCATTTATGGAAAAAAAAACTTTATCTAAACCATTAAAACAAGAACAAGGGAGAAGAAAAAAATCTAGGGACTGATGTAAATGGAGTGGGAGTGCAAATAGGTTGAGTATAATTTCAAGTTTACATTTTCTTCAGATTTAACCTTGTCTTGTTTGTTCGTGAAAAATAAAATAGGAAGCAAAATTATGTGGTTTTACCTTACATGCAAGAGAATGGAGGTAGGAGGAGGGTTATATGTTTAGGAGTATACCTATTCATGGGCTGGGTAGCTTGATAGCCCTACCCACTTAACCTATTCTTTAGTCAAGCTTGGATATGAATTTAGGCTTTCAAGCTTAGTCTTGGGCCCAAAACACTAGGCCTACCGTTTTTTTTTTTTTTTTTTTCAGGTCGGGCTCAAGCTTTCTCAAAAAAGTCTGACCCAAGCTTGAGCCTAGCATGATAATATTTCACATAATATATATATATATATATATATATATATATAAAATATTGTTTCTTTTCTTTGTTCCTTTTCTCTTTTCTCAATCCATAGTGAGATCTTTCATTACTTTTGGGCTTTATCTGGGGGTCTGGATCAAGCTCAATATCTAGGGTTGATGGTCAAGCTAAGCTCAAGCTCAAGCTTGAATGTGCTCCGTTAATATAGGAGTAAAGCCTAGCCCAATCTGGACCATGAACATGTCTGTTTGGGAGTGTTGTAGGAAGTAAAAAGGTTTGGTTCCAACTAGGGGTGTAGTGAGGTGGGGTGGGCCAGGTTTTAGCTCAACCTAGGACCTACCCTAAGAATTTGGGTTAAATCCCAAGTATGAGGTCAAGCATGGATTATCCAGCTTAAGACCATCTCGTACTAAAATTTGATGCACGTGGGTTGGACTCAGGTTTGAGTTGGGCTTGATATACATATATGTGTGTATGTATGCATGTATGATTTAATAAAAAAAAATTATACTTATATGCATGTATGCATGTGAATATATGTCTATCTATATGTGCATATACACATGTCTGCAATCAGGTAGTCTCAGGTTGGGATAAGGTCAGGCCAGGTTCAGGCTACCTAAGGGCTAGGCCCAAGTCCAACCTGAAAATTTAAAAATCTCAAAATTTTGAAACTAGGCTTAGCTCAAGGATTGAAAATACAAGTCCAACCCATGTAAAATTGCATGGTAAGTCTAGTCTCGAGTTGGGTCCACCCAAGTTGCACCCCTAGTCTCAACTTTATATGACAAAAGATTGAAGTAAGAGGAAGGTGGCAAAAATTTTGCATCGGTTTTTGGGATACAAAATTTACATTGATAGTAAGTGCAAATGAGACAAAAAAATACAAGTTTTGTAACAGGTAGGAGTTATAATATAATACTGATTTGGGTGCAAATTTTGTATTTGCTTCAGATTTGCACTACAACCAAACACATCCTAACTAAATTTTGTTTGTTTTTAGTGCAAATTTGAACCATGTGCAAATACAAAATTGAACCAAGTAAAAATTTGCTTGTAACCATGATTTACACTCCTTTAGAAGTTTAAGAGACAGCTATCCATCTTAAAGAGGAGTGACATGCATAAAAACAAATAAGTAATCAAGAGAAAGCAAATGTATAAACGTCGAGACATCTCTAAAATGTCAAAACCATAGAAATGAAGAAAATCAAGAGAAAGAAAAAGGCTCTATTCTATTTTTCCTAAAAGAAGTGAAATGGCCCATGCATCCAAATGCCACTATCACCATTAGAAAGAGAAGAAGAGCCTGCAAAAACCATTAAACCAATAAATGATTAGATTCCAAATAAAGCATGAGTACACAAAAAGCAAATTGCTTATCATTCATGAGATTTCTTGTGACATGTTGTTCATGGAGCTTTGTAGTTCATTAGGAGGTAGAGAGGGTTCTTCGTCCCTCAGATGCTCCATTTTAATGGTAGAGGAAAAGAAACAATTCAGAATGTCTTTAAAAATGTCCCATACTTGTGTTTTCTTTGTCACTTTTAGTAAAATGCAATTGTATTGTTGACTAATTGCGATTAAAAACATAGAGAAGAGAGATTGTAGGAATTAGAAGTTGGAGATCGTAGGGATTAAAGATTTTAGAAACTTAGAGAAGAGAGATTGTATGAATTAGAGGGTTTTTTTTTTCGTATGGGAAGGTAGATGGAGAATGATAAAACATAAGGGTTTTTTAAGAGGAGAGGGAGATTTTAGGAAAGTTTTTAAGTGATTAGGAAGTGGGGTAAAACGTGGAAGTTTTGGATATGGCCTTGCTTTGGAATGTGGCTTATGTATAGTCTTCAAATCATTGAAAAGGCATAAAACTTAATAAAAAAAAACTTACAATGTTGACTTTTTATGAAGGAAAGGATGGGGGAATGAAGAAATAAGAGAGTTTTAAGGAGGAAAGGAAAAAGGAGAAATATGCTAACAACTAACAAGGATTACTTTACTTAATATATATATATATATATATATAGCATAGATGCTACTCGATTCCTTTTTTTTTTTTCCGATACGCATATTTATTCGTGCTCGCAAACAAAAATTATGTATAAGCCACACTTTGGAAAATTCTCCCATTGAATTTAACACTTATGTATAAGAAATATCCCGAATGTGTAATTGGATATCATGTGTGCAAAGTTTTTGTTTACAGGAGATCCAGGCTTGTAGCAATTGCAAAAAATTGGGTGATGTTAGACTTATCCCATTTTAAATTTAGCTTCCTAGTCCAATTGGTCCAATTACACATCCAATCCTTCCCCACAACCCACTATTAATCAAGGTTCAAAGTTCGATATATCCTAATATGACAGAAGGGGTATATTGACACCATGAACCTTCCACTTTATATTTTAAGTTTTTTCTTCAAAAATCAAAGGAAGGCTTTAATATTGTATTAATATTAAAAAA